CAAAAATAACAATAAAAATATAAATTAAAAAAAAACTTCCTACATCGGATTTTAAATAGATTGAGTAGGTTTGCGTATTTATATCACTAGAGGGCGTATCGCATTGCCAGGGCTTCCTGGAAGTACTTGATTCTAAACTATGCCATTGGACGTATTCACCAGGAATAAAATTTTTGTTTTCAAGCTAAACATGGCGACGCTGCCTGATATGTTCAATAATATAGAGTAGATGGGTGCAGGGTGATCGGCGTATGTATTGCGTTGTATTACGGTCCCACGTGTGTAAAAGTGGTCCAGTCAATTTAGCGTCAAATCGTATCTAACCTGCCACTAAATGCAACATAATATGTGTTGCTGGTAACATCGAAACCCACCAACATCTCAGTAGGGGAAAGTTGTTAAATAAAATCACGTTATTTCTTATAGTTTACTCATGTCAAAGCTAAGGGTTCTCTAGTCAGTTGTATTCTATTCAACTTCCCCAATATCTTATGAAGTATAGTACACTGCTGGATTGTGCCATTGTAGTGAATGTTTAGAGTAGTTTTCACATCCGGTTCACGAATATTTACTTTTGAGATATAATTTTTGGTATGTGTTTGTTTTTCGATATTTCAGCTCCGTGGTTCTGTACTTGGTTCAGTAAATAAGGCTTTCCAGATTGTGTGAAAACGGACAGTTTGGCGATTTTGACACGGAAATGCCTGGACCAAATCATTTGCTGAAGGATGGCCGCTTAGGTATATGTACTCTAGAACCTGTTTCCCTAGGCAACAAACTGTCGCCTGTCAAAGTAGTAAACTAACCACAAATGCATTCCCAAAGTTTCTCTGTGGGAGTAGACACTTCCTATGTATGGTTCACATCGCCCTCCAGGGGCGGCGACACGAAATTTTGCTCACCATCCCTCGTACCCCGTAGGCGCAAGCGGTCGTACATTTTTTCGGGGGCGCAACCGCGGTGCCGCCGCCACTGACCTGGATTTATGAGAAGAAAACAACAAAAATGTGTCCACACATTTCAAATATACACTAACCAACCAAAAAATATGTAATATGGATCTATGTGGATATGATGTGTGTGTGTTTGAAAGAGGGTGGGTTATGTAATTCATGTCTGCGGCGAATCATACTCTATGCTGGTCATGGTTCGCAAATAGACCAATGACAGGCCACGTACTACAGGAAATACCCTCAGCGTTTTTAGATGTTAATTCACGTTTGAAGCACGTGACAATTTGACTCAGTGCAAATATGGGTGTAATTATCTGTTTCGATGCATGCTCAACTGTGCGTAAAGTTATGTCACATACTAACGCATTCTTCCATGTCCCACAAGTGTCTGGGAACAGTATATGCATCAGGCCCGTAGCCAGCACAGTCAAGACTGTACGTATCTTAGCATTATTGTCTAAGCATTTTAAGGTAGAATGCTACTCACGAGCTTTTTCGCTCTTCACAGATGTTAGCGCACATAAAAGTGACACAATTTCATGTCGAAATCTGTCTACAATTATTCATTTTAGTATTAGTCAATTATGTAATTTTATTTCTGTACAGGGCCTCACCACATCGTACAAAATGTAATGGGTAGAAAAGTGCATATCACGTTTTAAAAA